TCTGCACCCCCCTAGCCTGCAGGCTAACAGGAGTCAGGGAGAGGGACACTGACTTACGGAAAAGTAAAGATGTCTTGACAATATACCCATTACACATGGCAACAGACAACTTCCCAGTAGTGCTGTGGGCTTATCTTCCAAAAGCCAGCCTCAACCCTTTACTGTCCCCGTTAGGGACATTACGCAGCTTCCGAGGCTCTCCGGCAGCTGGTGTTCCTACACACATGGGCAAGCTTCACATAATGAAATGCAGCCAGGAGCGCGAGGAGACCCTCCCTTACCAAACAGAAAGCCAAGGCTCATCAGAAAGAAAAGACTTTGTCCCTTTCTGTTGGAGCACGGCTTTGAGACCTGAAGGTACAGTGACTCTGAGGAAACAGGCGTGAAGGTGAGGGCCCGTGGATGGGGTTGCCTGATAAAACACAGGATGTCCGGCCCAACTTAAATTTCAGATCAACAACAGATAATTTTGAACCCTGAACGCTGGGATTACCTCTCCTGTCACGGTCAGCCCCAGACATGGGTGGGCCCCTCCCATCCCAAATTCGGTTCAGATGTTGAGGCCGTTGACACCATACCCGTACCCAGAGGGTATGAAAGGCGAAAGACTCCCATGATGAAGGTTGCCGGGGACATCTGCTGGGACATCCCCAGCAGCTCCAAGACCAGCTTGGGGGCGCAGGATGGGGCAACTCCTTGGAGTTTCCTGGTGATGGGGGTGCGGCTGAGCTGAAGGGCTTGGAGGTGCTGTGGGTTGAACCTCCGGCTGGTACCAAGCTGGGGAGCAGCCAGCCTGGCCTGTCAGCCTGCTCAGGTGAGGGGGGTAAGAGGCCAGGGAAGTAAGGGGGCTCGAGAGCTGTCAGCAGACATCAGAAAACGCAGTCAGACCATCCCAACAAGTCCTCCCGAATATTTCATGCGAGACATATGCATCTTAAATTTGTTTGTTGTTTGTCTGGAAGTCGAATTTAACTGCTCGTCTTTGCATTTTTGTTGTTTGTGTTAAATCTGGCAATCCCTTCCGGGGCACAGAAAGAAAAGCCTGGGTCCCTCCTAGGGTTGGAGGAACCCCTGCTCCAGCTCTGATTTGTCCACCTCCAGACTTCTTAGATGACACGAATGAACCCTTATTTCTTTAAGCCACGACTAGCCTGGTGCTCAGTTACCCGAAGCCGAGCGCATTCCGAAAGGTCAGCTCAGCTGCTCCGTGGGCAGCTCCTCCTCCGCGCTCCGACTCCGTGCGGATTGCGCACCTGCTACAGGTACCGACTCCAAAGACTGTTGAAATCAGCCCAAGACATCGAAAACAACCATAGAATAGGGGTCTATTTCAGCATTTAAAAAAAACTTTGGGGACACCTGGGGGGCTCAATGGTTGAGCGTCTGCCTTCTGCTCAGGTCGTGACCCCGGGGTCCTGGGATCGAGTCCTGCATCGGGCTCCTGCATGGAGCCTGCTTCTCCCTCTGCCTGTGTCTCTGCCTCTCTCTCTCTCTCTCTGTGTGTGTGTCTCTCATGTATAAATAGATAAAATCTTTGAAGAATAAATAAATAAATAATAAAAAACCCAACAACTTTGAAATCAGGACGTGACTTATAATAATAATAGGTGAGGTCTTAGATTTCAATCTAAGTGGTTCCCCACCCTGGTTGCTTATTAAAACAATCTGGGGAGCATTTAACAAACACTGTGGCCTGTGTCCTCCCCCAGAAGTTTTATTTAATTGGTCTGGGGCTGGGCCCAGGCCCCGGGTAATCTTTAAAAGCCTCCTCAGTGTCAGTAATTATGCAGGCCGGGCCCCAAAATCATCGCACTGGGTAAGATACTTCATGTGTGGGTGCACGCGTTTCCTCGGAGTCAAGCCTTGTTACGAAGGCTTTTGAGGGGTGGAGCAATGAACGAGAGGGGTCCCCTCGATGCCTGCTGGCGGACGGCTGTTCCACAGGCTGTCCCCTTGCCGATGTGACATGGGCCTTCGCTCACCTGCGCCGGCGTCCGCTCACTGAGCAGCTGTGCAACCGGGGCTGGGGGTCCAGGAAACCCAGTGCGTTTCTGCAAAGAGCCCGAGACCCAGAGGCGGGGAGCTTGCAGGGTCCCCTCACTGGGGACAGGATCCCGTTGCTGTCGGGGGCTCTGCAGGAGAACTGAAAGAAGCAGGTTAGGGGTGGGCTCTCCTCTGTCCCATTGGGGGAGCCCGCTGCATGTGAGCTCCGGGGGACCCGAGGACAGCTCTTTTCACAGGACACCGTGCGCTGTGCAGTCCTGCTGGCGCAGGTGCAAGCGAGCTGAGCTCACCTGGGACTCCGAAGGACGCCTCGCTGTCTTGTGCGCTCGGTGACAAAATCGAACATGTTTCTGCGTAGCTACAGGTATCAGAGCTCATCCTTGGTGTTTCTCGACGCTTCTAAGTCACGGCCCGTCCGAGGCGCGGGCCCCACGGGTGTGTCGGGCGCGAGTGGGCTCTCGGCTCCCGGGCTCGCCGGCTGCCCGCAGGCCGGTCACGCGCGGCCCGGCCACTCCCGCGGCGTCTGTGCCACTTGACCTTGTTTGACCAGTTCCTCCACGCTTTTTATTTGTCCTCTGGCCGTGGGCTAATCTTCAATCTGCAGGCACCTGCCCAGCAGCGGACCTGCTCCGTGAGCCTGGAATGGCACTGGATTCCTTAAGCCGGCCCAGTTCTCCCAGTAAGACCAGGTCGTGGAGCTGGAGACGCTGGTTCCCCGTCCTGCCCGTGCACCTCAGCGCTGCTGGAAAGATTGAGCGGCTGCGTTACGAAGCCTGCACCCTGTGATCCTGAACTTAGACTCCAAACTGGTAGAAAGCCTTGTCCTTTTGCCCCTGTGCACGCAAGACTACTCAGAAGGAATTAAGTTCAAGCCAGGTAACGGGGTAAATAAAATCTGATTCTACTGATAGGGATTTTTGTGTCTGCTTCCGCCAAGGCTCACCCATTATAACCCAGCTTTCTGGTTCCGTGAGTTAAGGAGAAGAGAAATCTCCTTTATCCAAGTGTATTTTGTTTAAAACTCCTCTAGTGATATGATGAGATGTGAATGGTGAAAACAAAGACAGAAGCTCATTGAGAGACAGGGAGGGCTTCCTGGGCCAGACAGAGGGCTCTTTTGCCCGTTCGCGGTCTATGAAATAATCTGTTTCGTTGGACTTAGACCATGCATGTCCTTGACTGTACCGTCTGGACGTTTATTAGGTGCAATGAACTCAAGGAGTAGCCTCATGTCATAAGGAGTAGCCTCAATTCTAGGATTCCCCTAGAATCCATTCTAGGGAAGATCCACAGGCTTTCTCCCTAGAGACTAGGGCCTCGGATATGCTTTCTGTGGTCCCTGAGTCCTTGGAGAAGCCACGCAAAGCAGTGCACGAGTTCCCCAGCCAGGGTGCATGGGTGCTGTTTACTGGCACTCAGGAGTTCCTGGCTGGATCACAGAAGCAGAAAATGGGAGCGGATTCTAGGGACACAGCAGTCAGAGCGCGGCTCCCTTACCTCTGCTGCCAACCCTGTGCATCGGCTTCCCCGCTAGTCAAGTAGTTGCTGGGATCTACTCATGCCTGGGTGGCAGGGAGGACGAGGTCTTCCGAGTGCCCCAGTACAGACAACTGGTGTGACACTTGTCTTCCAGGGCTGGGAGAGGTTGGCCTGCAGAGGCCCTACTCTCCCCTGGGCCACAGGGGCAGTTCTACAGATGGAAACTAAACTGCCTTCCCACTCAAAGGTTTTCTCCCATACGCGTGGCATTTACAGAGATGCACTTTTCCCTCCAGAAGCGAGGTCTTTCATGATTTGTAGCTAAAGAGGTAAAAGGGTGGTTCAAGCTGCCAACTCTCGCAAAAGGCTTTCTGTTTTTTTTTTTTTTTTTTTTTGCGACCAATCAGAGCTTTCAGTTGAGAAAAATACATTGGCCGGTGGAATACATAACATTTAAGACTCTTTGTGACCTCTGCTTACTTCTGAGAGGCTTCCTGTACACCGAAGCCAGGTACTGAAATGTTTGATGAAGATTTGATGAACCCTTTGCTGAGAGCAGTGTTTCTACACACAGCCAACTCCAGCAAGCCCTCCTTAGAGATGCTTACATTCAGTAGATGGAGTTGGTCGAGGTGTTGGCAAGCCTGCATTTTGGTCCTCATTCTGGCCCTAAGGAACTGTGTGATTTAAGGAATTGCGTGTTACTTCTTTATTTATACCATGGTGGGACAGAGGAAGAGGCCTTTTGTACCCCAGACCATTCATTTCCATAGAAACAACTGAGAGGTGTTCTTAAACATGAGCTCAAATCAAAATAGGGAAAATTGATAGTCATAGTGATGTGGTCAATACGTGAAGGTGGTTTTTATTTATTTTTTTTTATGTTTGAGTAAACTCTACCCCCAACCCAGGGTCCAAACTCACAGCACAGAGATCAAGAGTCACATGTTCTTGGGACTGAGCCAGCCACACGCCATCCCCTGGGGCGGGGGGGGGGGGGGGGGTGTCCCATTCCATAGGGCGGGGCTAGGAGGAAATTCACTGAGGGTTTGTAAATGTAAATTTTAAAGTAATGCAATGCTACCAAATATTTTTATAATGCCTTCTCCCTCTTCCTCTGCTTCTTCAATTTGCTGAGTTTGCAAATATGACTTTAATATAAATGCAATGGTGCCAAGTAGTTTTATAACGCTTTCTCCTTTTAAATTTCTGAACTGAGAGATTTCGTTATACTGACTGCTTTGAACACCTGTCTTGTTCAATATAATCATGTAAAGATAAGACCGTTTCTCCTACCTTTGGTTCAGGTGCCAAATCAATTATACAGGAAATGGTTTTGTGGAGAACCTTCCTCTAAAAGACAGATTTCAATTTCAAGGAAAATGACAGCAAAATTAACCTAAGTGCAGATTATTTTTTTAACCTCAAAACTTAAAAAGAATCTCAAATCCGAATGGGGATATTTTTGCCATTACATATACTTAACTTCAATAAATGAAACCTTGAACTCCAACAAGCATAATTAAACCACATTTTATTGCAAATAAAAATATACAGAAACATTTATTTAAAATTCATAAACTTTTAAAAATGAACAGTACGTATAAACATTTGAAAAATAGAAAATCGCAAGACTATAGAGTTTATTCAAAACAGTCAAGTGTTCTTAAGTACGTATCTTCTTCATATGTATTCCTACAAATCACGTTTCCACAAAGTTTTGTTAGAAGGTGACAATTGCATTTTCAGTTCAGTTTTATGGGCTGTAAGAAAAAATATTTTTGTTGGATTCATTTTGTTTTGGTGTTGAGACAGTTACAATGATGGAGTTCATATTCTCCTGGATTATTTAAAACAAGCTAATGTGACACGACTTAAGATGAAGACTGTATGAAAATTGGCAACTAACGGTGTTTATCTAGTAATAAGACTATAAGAATCAAAATGTTGATTCAAAGAGAACTAAATTCTATTAAGTGCCTCACACATCAAGCATGATACAGGATACCTTCCATGTATGTCACTAAGTACTCTTAAAGGTGTTAACTGCATGCTGCTAAATCTAAAGACTTTTAAGAACATTCTCTGCAATCTGAACTAAAAGTGACCATTGACCTAAGAATAAAATTATGACCATTGACCTAATGTTGAAAATTAAAATAAAACCATGATATTCGCAGAATTAGGGAACGCTTTCAATCTGGCTGTGTGAAGACAGCTTTGTAACCCCTAATAGCCCATATGCAGATATTCACATAATAAATCTTAAGATATCTATGTGAGACAAAGACGTATCTATGTGAGTCAAGACTAACATAGTCTGAAATACAGGGATCCAGCATTTTCTTCCTCCTTAGATCATATCTTCCTATTTGGGAAAAATTATTGTTTTATTTTTTATTATTATTATTTTTTTATTGTGAGTTTTAGATTTACGATAACACTTTGGCTTTTCAATGCATATACCCAGTAGGGATTTTTAGATTTTTAAAAATATTTCATTGTTTCTCTAACATGTTTCAACTTGTTAAATCTTTCTCAGCCTTTCTCCTGGGCATATATGTCAACACCGGTTCATTTTCCAATCCAGGATACACATGAGTTCTTGTGTTCCACGAACCTTTAGCCTGGGCTCAATATACCAAGGGCAAAGCTTTGTAATAGGTGACATTTAAGAAATACCTGACACTGGATCTCCCTGGAGTGGAGAACCACCACAGTCTCAGGTTGGATGCCATTAATTTCCTCACTATGAAAGTGTCCTGGAGGAATCAGTAGAAGTTTTCAATAGAAAAAAAAAAATCTTAAAAGAATTCCTATCATTTTTAAACACTACCTTTTCCAAAAACACTTTTCCTACAAACTTGAGTTCATAGCTTATATATCTGATATACAATTAAAGTGAAACGGCAATCAGCAGAGTAAACACGTACTTGACCTGAGGTATCAACCCATGTATCTTTCATGGATTATCAATTTTCAAAAATGAGAACGCACTGAAGTGCACTCAACACTGAGCTGTGCTGGAAGAGACGTTGACAGCCCTTTGCAACTTCACGGTCATCTCAGGACATCTCTGGGAACATCAGTCAGAGCTCAACAGAACTGGGAAATGCTAAAGTCAGTTTAACAGGATTCTTGATAATAGAATTTACTATTATTACCTAGATTACAAACAAGCAAAACTAATAACATCTGATACTGGAACAGAAACATTGAATCAACTTGAAGAGTTTTTTGTTTTTGTTTTTGCCTTAATGTTGTAACTTTTTGGCTAGGATTTTTGTTTTAGCAGAAATAAGTTTGGCCTGGAAATATGTAATTTCTTTCTCATGAAATCAGTGAGTGATAAGTGTCCACAAACATTAAAGCCCGCCAACAATGTTATTCCTGCTGCACTTGGAGATGGTAAAATTATATGTGAAAGGTATTTTCCTGTAGCATTCCCTGAGGCCTCAATATTTTGTATTCTAGGAAGTAAACGTTCCTTCTTATTCTCCCAAAATGCTTATCAATAAAACATATGGAGAATATAGTCAGGATGAAATTCAACAGAAAAAGACAATCTGCCACTTATTGTGGTAGGATATGTATAATTTTAAAAAGGTTAGTGACTAACTAGAATCTCCTTAATAAATGTGAAAAGTGCCAAATTTCAAGAGAACAATTATGATAACTCATTCAGGTTTTGGCAAAGATTTTTCTGTTTCCAAACAGTCTGTGAAAAACTTAACCCTTTGGGGATTAGACATTTGAGAAAAATTGAAGTGTACAATATAATCCTAAAGTAAATGTGCCAGTTATTTTTACAAAAGTCTCTCTGTCAACAGGAAAAATGGCCTTTGGGATAACAGAGAAAGGGACAAAGTGAATATAAGGAACTCCAAACATGAAATCACTTGGACTTCTCCAGAAACTCAATTTTGTCTTACATTGCTCAGGTTTGAGTTAAAAGAAGCCTTGAATGTAATCATTTGCCTTTGTTTTTGTGAAAACAACAAAAAACCCCACTGTGTTTCATTTAACTATTTCTCTCCCTCCTCCACTCTTCTCTTTTGAATTGGTAATAAACTTTTCTCACATGGCAATAAATTACAATTCATAAGTCCTTCATGGGCTGTGTGTCCTGCACATTCTAGCCCACCAAGGAGCAGATTTCCAAGGCAGGCCTATTTTTTTTTTTTTAATGCTCTACTCTTTAGCTATCTAGTTTAGAAAGAAGGACATTATAGAAGGTTGGGGGGGGAAGCATCAATAATCTTGCTTCTCAGTTTTAATAATTTGAGACGATGACTCATCGGAGAATGATGGTTGATGCTCTACTTATCAGCACACAGTTAAGTTTATCTATGAATTACTAAGAATAGCAGCCAAAGAAATGAAGAGCCACCTGGCAGAGGCTAAAATATTATGACCAGAAGAGATTACTCAGAGACTCATGTAACTCTTTAACTTCTTTTGTGCTTAGGGAATATTTCAGGTTTGTAGACATGCGAAACAGTAGAGGTCTTCTGGAGAAGGATCCAAACCTTGATTTTGAAATTTGATGGCCAAAAAGGAAGGCATTTTTGGGGGTAGGGGTGGGGGTTCACATCTAGATTATTAGTTAGAACTTTAAAAATGCCAGCTCTCCTAATATTTCTTCAAGAAATCAGATATTCCTTGTTCTCTCCAAGTATCTTATATTGGTTCAAATTCAAGGTTTCTAGAGACTTTGATCATCAGTCCTACTAAACAAGGTAATGTCATCACTGAATCCTAGGGTCGAACATTCTGTGTTCTCTAGTAAGACATATTTGTCTTCATTACCATTCAGAGAAAGGACTTCTTTCTGAGTAGTGGATGTCAGGTCACTCCAGGTAATGTCAGAGTGTTTAAAAGCATGTAGAAGGAAGATGCCATTGATAATGGTGAAGAATCCACTCAGGGTCCCGATGATATCTCCGGCTTTCATGCCATACCATTCTTGGAATAAGATGACGGAGCAAGTTACTACCATGGATGTGAAAAATACGTAATAAATGGGAGTCACGAGAGCTGTATTAAAGGTGTCCAGTGCCTTGTTGAGATAGTTAATCTGTGTCATCACTGAAAGCACAAGTACGGCCAGCAAAACAAAGACCAGAGGATGCTTGTAAATTGGCTTCCATTCCAATAGTTCCTTAATGGCAATTCCCAGGCCCTTGACAGAAGAAACTGAAAATGCTCCAATCAATGAACAGATTGAAATGTAGACCAATATATTGGTCTGTCCCTTCTTGGGAGCCACGATCAAAATCAGCACCAACGAGATCACAGTTATGATCACAGCAAAGGAAATAAATCCTGTTTGGAAGAGAAAAGAATTAGACTTCAGAAAATGCTAATAGGATCCTATCTTTGAGAAATCTTGTTAGTCATGAGTTTAGAAGCGTAGGTGTTTCAGGAAGGGAAGTGAGATTAAATTAGAACAACAAAAACAAAACATTTTACTGCATGGCTCTCTGTATTTTACAAGGACTTTTACAAACGTATCATTTGAATTTCACAGATAACACCATGGCAGGTATCATCCGAATGACTTTTTTTAAAGATTTTATTTATTTATTTATTTATTTATTTATTTATTTATTTATTTATTTATTTATGAGAGATCCAGAGAAAGAGAGAGAGGCAGAGGCACAGGCAGAGGGAGAAGCAGGCTTCCCATGAGGAACCTGATGTGGACCCCATCAGGTGGATCCCAGGACCCTGGGATCACCACCTGAGCCAAAGGCAGATGCTCAACCACTGAGCCACCCAGGTGTCCCTGAATGACTTTATTTTCAGTGGGGGAAAGTGGCCAAAGTTTGGGTTGGAGTACATGCTTTTGCCTCTCCTATTCCCATCTCCTTTTATTGTGTAGAGGACGCACATGGATGGAATGCTAAGTTGTGTGTCACCTTTACACAAGACTTGTAATCCAGTCAAACCTTACTGCATCTCACAACCCACAACAGGGCCTGAAGAGAGCCTTTTATAGTATTATTACAAATTCATTTGATGAGGAGAGAAAGTGAAATAGAATCAGAGTGTTTCTTTTGGTTGAATCACAGACCTGGGTCTCTCAATTTCATTTCCATTTCATGCAAAGAAGTGACTTCCTCTTCTTGTGGGGCATGGATAACCATCACAGTTGACCCCAATATACTTAGTATGCAGCCTATTTTCCCATGAATGTTCAAGTGCTCATTTAAAAAGTAGGAAGACAATATTGCACTGTTGGGAGAAGAAAAAAAAATCACTCATTTAATCAACATTGGATTCCATAGCAGCTCGGAAGTCACACTGTGGTACTGGCCACTCTACCCCAGTTGCCAATCAACTGATCAGAATATGCTCCAGGACGCCGAAAAACCTGATTAGTCTTAATACTCAGAGATGGTCAATCAAATCTGCTTAATTGCTTTTCTATCAAAAGAGTTTTAACAGACATTCTGTACCCATGGCATCTTCGCAAGAGAGGTCCCACTCAATTAACTTCCAGTTTCCCCATCTTCTCCCATAAACCCAAGCAAAATGGAAGATCTTTTACATTTTACTGGCACGACTGAGAATCTGTGTGCTCGTGAAAGCTTCAAAGGAAGATACATGTCTAAAGAAGAGTCACTCAGCTCAGGGCTGATCTTTAGCTAGTATGTAAGGCACTACCATGCAGGTTGTCAAAATATTGAAGTATTTCCTTACCAGCTGCTACTGCCCTGATCCCTACATTTATCCAATAGTCCCCACTACTGTGCCATGGCCCCAGGAAGTTCTGTTGGCAGCACCATGGACTCCAGACTATGCTATCCTGCTGTTCTTCCAAATAGATCTGCTGTGGCTCCTGCACACCAGCCTCCTTCCCTTGATGCCCTGGCACTCCCACCAGGGTATTACCTACACCAATGTGCACCTGAGACCGTGGTCCGTTACCTGGGACCTTCTTAGAGTCATCCTCATGTGGCCACTTGTGAGGACACTAGCCTTAGGCAAAACACTGCTATTACTAAGAGTTCTGGTTCCACGCATAGACAGGGTTCTGTCTGTCAGTGCTCTAGGTGTGCTGACTCATTTACTTCTCACAAGAGTCCTACAAAGAAGGTGAAGAGGGTTGGCCTGGTCATAGGCTTTCTACTACAGGTGGATAATGAATGAAGACAAAAGAGAAAAATACAACGAATAACACAGTCGCTCAGCTCTAAGCGTTCATGTGCCCATTGAACACATTCATTTGGGATCATAATAAAGACAACTAAAAAAAATGGGATCTGCACTCTATGAATATGAGAATTATTCCTGTTTCCAGGGCTAAAAGAAACGAAAAGGTCTCCAAACATAACTATCCAGCAAATAATGAAAGACTTTAAGTGAAAGTTGAAATTTAACCCAAACACTATGCTTTTCAAAGTCCTCTGATCACTATGGTCGTTAACCACTATGACGACAGAAAGGACTGAATGGACTGTGGTCATGTGTTCAGATGAGAGAGAGAGAGAAAAACCCACTAGACTTAGTTGAATAAACACAAACGTAACACATGATTACTTTATGTTAGCAGGAAGCCAGGCCCACTCTCACTGGTTTTCTAAATAACAATAACACAATTTATTCCCCGCTCCTACCGCTCTTTCTTGTGTCTTCTCAAATGAGTTGCATGATATTTTGAGATACGCTCAGCAACGTATTTCTTGTGGTTTAAATTCATCATGGCCCTGACGCCTCTGCAGAAGCCGAGCTCTTTTCTCACGTACCTTATGAGCACACTCAGAGCCCCCAGCGGGGTGACCAAGGTGGCAGGTGCAAAAGCATAAGCTGCAAAATTCACCGCCTCTCCGGCTCCCACTGGAAAGCAAGCCATGGTAGTCATGTGAGAGACGGACTTGTCAGGAGAGAAAAATGAATGATAGGCAAAGTGGTGGACTTCTGTCCCAGAGATACTGACGGGGCCACTAAAAGGAACCATTTGACGTTGTTTGTCATGGAGGGTGGGGGAGGATTGGCACTAAGGGATGTAGCTAAATGGTGATTACCTGGTGATAGGAACTCAGCTGATGCAAAAAGGGGTGACGGATGAATACACGCTGTAAGCGACTTGCAGTAGAGATTTTAGTTATGTCACAACCAAAACCGTATTTGGTCACTTCTACAGAATCTAATTAGAGGTAGTTTGGGCCTAAGCAAAGAACTATTCTATTTGCTCAAGCATACCTGCTGGCAAATTAGAATGCTTTGCACAGATCTACTGACCTGGCAGGGGATAGCGAGAAATGCCTACCACAGGCCCAGGCGGCCGGGCGTCTCTGAACTGTAGATGATCCAGAAGCACCTTAGTGTGCTTAGAAGTATCAAGGAGATCCAAAGGGCTGTTTTAAAGTCATAGGGATGAGCTCCTGCGATCTTTGTCTTTTCTGAGGAACTCTAGACTTTGGTGAGATGATTTCTAGAGGGAAACTCCAAGGACAGGACTCTTGTCTTGGAGCTAAATTATTCTTATGGGTCACAACTGTACATATGCCCACAGAATGTAGTATTTCATGAGGGCAACCTATGCCAAGAAGACACTAGCATTGTAGAGAGAGCTTCTGGGACAGATAAAAGACACCAGAATACTTTTTCTTTTTCCCTCTGGTTGCTATGCTCCCAGCCTTCCCTCTCCCCCGGCCAAATCTGCAGGAGTAGTCAGGTTTAGGGAAAATATCATGAAACAGATAGAAGCTTCCAGAACAGAACAATTGGGAGACTGCTCTTCTAAGAGGAGTCATGGCAAATTTTCTTCAAATATGAACCTATCTTGAATACTTGATAGTATTTATATTTTTATCTCTACAGACAGCTTTCCAGGAAAATATTAATTTCAGGATTGAAGTGCTGTATGTTTGTCACTAGGCAAAATCTCTAATGTCGTAGACTTCTGCTATTTCTCTCTTCAATACTAGCATGAACTTTGTACATGATGAGAATAAAACTGTAAATGTAGCCACATAACATTCTCCTTAGATCTTCATCCTATTGTGCGGGTAGAGGGTGGGGAGACACAAGAAGGAGAGAGAGAAAAGGAGAAAAAAAGAAATCATCCAAAATATCTATCGGGAATCTTCTCAGTACATTTCCTGTCAACTTTTATCCCGATGAAGTAAGAAAACAGAAAACACCTAAACAACTGAAAGGGCTATACAGGTTTAAATCTAAATATTTTTATTTATCATCTTTTTAGATTCTAACATTAAAGTCATCCAATTCTGTTGCATAAGAGGACCACACAAGTCCTGAACTGTGTCAGTTGGTGTGGGAATCAATGGGAGTCGGAAGGCTTCTTGCTGCAGAGGGAGTCGGCTAGTGGGTGGTGAGGTTAAACTATAGTTTATGAGCTCCTGTCTTTGGGATTTAAGAGAAATCAGGGGAGTTAGGGGAGGGACAGAAATCTGCAAAAGTGCCTGGGAGAGAGAGAACACTGTCTTCCCTTTGCACCCCATCTGAGCATTCGTAGAGTGGTCTCCATCCAACAGTCTCATGTAGTCCTCAGGGCAAGTCTGGGAGGAGGGAGTGCTGACAACCTTCATCTTCTCTCCATTTGTTCGGAGCTAAGCAGCCAGAGGGGACTTTAATATACCCATGTTTTGGTCCTGACCAGGAAAATGTACCCATTCCTCAGAAGACATGCAGCAAGAACAGTCACAGATTCGAATTAGGAGCAGGGAAATGTGGGAAGAAGGCATTTTCCTTAATTGCTCTGGGGAGGAAGACTGAAGGAGAAGTGGGTGATAAGATATTTTAAATGTTAACTTTTCCCCTTGCATTCCAAGGCAGTGTTGAGAACATGGAGATGCAGCGAGAAAAGAGGAGGAATTAATTCTAAAAATATATGACTTATTTTATATGTAAGATATTATGCCCACACAAAAATTTCTAGACTTTCATGCCATCCTTCCTAGGAAGATAATCAATCTTGAACAATCCAGGGTGATTTATGTATCAATTTTCCAAGCACACGCTATTCTCACCAGTAAGGACTTACTTGAGAGTAATCCTGCCCACCAGAGCCATTCCTTGAGGTAAGAATGTCCACCTTGTCCTAAGAAAATAATAAAAATTACAATTAAGTTCTAAACTGGAGGGAGAATGCTCGCAGAACTGATCGCTAGGAGAGGGCGTGGAATATGGTTGGAGAAGCCAAGACTTTAATGTGGAGCCACTTTCAGGCAGTCTTGAGCCTGAAAAGGCCCATCAGGTGACCCACCTCAGGACATCCACAGGCCCCATGTGACCATTGGGCTACTTACAACTAAGCACAGTTAACCAAAAATGAGAGAATTCCACACGTCCCCATATCTCATCTTCCCCCTTTAAAAACAGCCCCCCCCCCCCCCGCCATGGCAGACAGCCTCTCCTCTGCTGTCCTGCCCGCTGCTCCCTTGAGGTGTATTTAATAAACTTCTGTCTCCTTTGTTCAGCTTCAGGTGGATCCTTTCACCTCCCACACCATTGGCTTCCACCCTATCATTGCCCCACATCTGGGGGCCCCCATCTGATTGAGAGACACGCCATTCAGACCCCCACAGTAAGGCCAACTCAGTAAAGCTAGTCTTCAGCTTACTTACTTGGCCATTTCTAAAGATCTTGGACTGCTTTCTACAGAAAGTAAGTTTTTTCATTTGCAAGAAAATTTTATTTAATCACTAGGCTTACCGTATTTATGCCAGCCACAGGTGTGGACACAGAATATCATACTTTATTTCAGCTATGGTTAAAATTAAATACAGAAACCCATAAATTGTAAATTATATCGGTACCTAATGAGGACCTCAAAGGGAGGAAGAAGATAGTTGACATAAGAGCTCTTGAGATTTTGGATAGTCAACCGGAGAATAACAAGCTTTAGCCAGCTGGACTCTCCTTATTCCTTACCTTGGTTGGCATTATGAAATTGAGTTTCTCTCTAGTCCACTGACAAGGACAAAAAGGTTTCCTGAGGCATTTAAAGAGTTATCTTCTCTGGACTGTAATCTGTGACCTAAAGTCATTGTTATGTTTGCCATAGGAAATGGAATTTTCGCACCAATTTTAATACGCTTAATCCTATGTATTTGACCTCTCTGATTTTGTTATAATTAAACTAAACAGGATGTATTAGCGGTGAAGATTATCTTGCAAAGTGTTTATTTAGGATTTTCTTCTTACAGAATGTGCAAATGATTAAAATGGAGTTTGAGTATTACAATTTCACAATCTGTCTTTAAAAAACCTGATGTGGGATCCCTGGGTGGCGCAGCGGTTTAGCGCCTGCCTTTGGCCCAGGGTGCGATCCTGGAGACCCGGGATTGAGTCCCATGTTGGGCTCCCTGCCTGGAGTCTGCTTCTCCCTCTGCCTCTCTCTCTCTCTGTGTGACTATCATAAATAAAAAAATAAAAAATAAAAAACTTGATGTATCATAAATAGTTTCTCATGTCCTTAATGGTTGAATATTATTTCAAAATCTGGTATATCATTATTTAGTTAACCTGTGTGCAACTACACACATACACACACATGCACACTGAGTGTCTACATTTGTTCTCGTTATATAAAAACCTTAAATAAATATTCTGGTATGCAACTATAGGTGGCATCCTTGTTCACATCTTAAGATAAATTACCAGAAGTGGCATTATTAAGTTATAAGACATTGACATTTTTAAGCTTTACCATATTGCTCTTAGGAAAGTTTGTACCCATTTATACTGCCTTCAGCAATGTTTGGGAAGGCTAATTATTTCCCAAAGGCCCTTACCAATATAGAGCCTTTTAAAGAAAAAGCAAAACTTATGAAAATGGTAGGCCACAGGGGCGCCTGAGTGGCTGAGCTGGTTAAGCGTACAAGCATCTGACTCTTGATTTCAGCTGGGGTCATGATCTCAGGATCATGATCGGCTCTGTGCTGGGTGTGAAGCCTGCTTAAGATTCTCTCTCTCTCCCTCTGTCCCTGCCCTCACTTTCCCTAAAAAAAAAAGAAAAAGAAAAAAGGAAAAAAAGAAAAAAATAGTAGACAACATCCCCAGGAGCTCATTGTTATATGATAGTATGTCACAACATCCCCAGGAGCTCATTGTTATATGATAGTATGTCTTTTTGGTACTAGTAAAATAACAATTATTTATATATGTTTATTGGCCACCTGTATTTCTTATTTTGTGGGTTTCTTGTTTATGTATTTGCCTGTTTTATCTTAGGGTACTAATCTTTTTCTTATCAACTATGGTCACTCTTTATATGCTGTGCCGTGGGTCTTAATATCCTTTGTCATATATTTTGGAAACACCCCCCCATATATATCATATGTCATTTGCTTTTTGGTTTCAGTTAAGGTGTTTCCATGTAGGATTTTTTTTTAATCAATCCAGGTAGTCTCTTCCTTTATACAGAACAGATTCTTCCTTTATCTGAATGCTTAGAAAGACCTTCTTTTAGGTTTTTTGGGAAAAGTCATTTCATTTTAAGTTCCTGAATGGTAAGAAGTAGAACTCCTAACATTTTTTTCCTCTAATTTTTGCCAATTGTCTTAACACTTGTGATTGAATACTCCATCCTTTCTCCAGTGGATTGAAATGCCGCTTTCAAAAATTGCATATTAAATTGTTATATGTACTTGGCAATTGTCTTTCACTATTTTGTTTATCTTTTTTAGTGCCAGTACCAAACTGTTTCAATTAAGATAGCATTATAGTAAGTTTTATTTCTGATAGTGCAAATCTCCTCCAATAGAACTTTTATAAATTTGCAACTTGTAGTTATTTTTCCATGTGAACCTTTGAATAATACTTAGCTCTTTCATGATATTCTTGATAAGAATGAACAGAATCTCAGAGGAAAGAGTTCAGTTCCCCAGAAACAGTGAGAGCTTAACAAAGTAAACCTTTATCTGGAATACATATGCATTAAGGTGGGACTGTGGAAACAACGCATTGAAGATTTACAGTGACACCTGGAAGTTCCTTCTAATGTGCATATAAATACAATCATGGAAGATTTTTGTATTACCTGTTTCATGGCCTTAAGGATTTAACGAACCAAATGAAAACTGATGAATCTGTTCACATCCCATCCTTTCTATCTAGGTAAGATAAAATCTATTCTCATTTTCAAGGTGGAACTTTACACGTCCATACTTCTTAAGCCACGTTTAAAGAAATCATCTCTTAACTATTCTTGAATGTTTACCTTGATGCACAGAAAGTTTTTAAAAAATAGACACTGGGGGTGCTTGGGTGGCTCAGTGGTTGAGCATCTGCCTTTGGCTCCGGTCATGATCCTGGGATCCTGGGATCGAGTACTGCATGGGACGGCGGGGCGGGGGGGGGGGGGGCGGTGGGGGGGACTGCTTCTCCCTCTGCCGGTGTCTCTGCCTCTCTCTGTGTCTCTCATGAATAAATAAATAAAATCTTTTAAAAAAATAGACACAGTAAGGACTTTTGTTTACATGGTCATGCACTGATGCTTAGATGTTCTAATATCTAATATGGCCACAGTGGTCTTGATAGCCAAAGTCATTTTTTTCCCACCTTAGGAATCCACACCGAAACAACCCTATCGAGAGATGTCAAGCTACTGTGTGTGTGAATTCTGTTTCGTTTCACACCTGGATGCTGGATATCTATCTTGGATTGTATATTGTGTTTGTGTATTTATGCTATGATTCATTGTAACTTCTCATGTTTCATGTTATACAATTGATTTGCATTGAACATAAGCTGTAAATAAAAAGAAATGTCTGAAAGAGAAAAAAATACAGGAGGGTAGCCCTCATGTTAAGTATTCTCATGAACAAAAAATAAAAAAGGGAGATAAGGAAACTTTTAGAGGTTATATGTGTTTATTATCTTGATTATGGTGATGGTATCATAGGTATGTTCTTATGTCCAAGCTCCTCAAATCGTATATGTTAAACATGTGAAGTATTTATGACTATACATTAATAAAATGGGAAAAAAAGAATGAGTAGAAATTTATGGCTAATGAAAGGGAGTCAAGCTGAGTTACTCAGCAGCAGGTGAAATGTCACTATAAATAGCAACCTAATTCTATTGCTATCCATTTATTGATTTAACAAATATTTATTGGGTCCCATGGAGAAGGTTCTTGCTCTTGTGCATCTACTATCAATAAACAAATAATAAATGTACAGTGACAGGTTATTTCGGGTACCATGAAGGAAACCCCTAGAGCCATGATAGAGAGTAATGGGGATGGTGGTGAGGGGCACCTCCCCAGAGAGGAAGACCAGCGAAGGTGATGATACCTAAGCTGAAGTCTGAAGGATGAGTTAGCCAAAGGAAGGCAGGGAGAAGAGAGTTCCAGGCAAAGGGAAAGGACCTTGAGGCGACAAAGAACTCAGTCTACTCCAGGAACCACAGAAAAGGAGGTGACAGGGAGGGTAGCAGAGGACACAGCTGGAGAGGTTGCAAGGGCCATGCTGCACAGACTGTTGAAGGCTGTTAAGGTTTTATTCTGAGTGCAAAGAAAAGCCACCGACGTTTTAAGCAGGAAGGCAGCGTCTGGCCTTGAACACTGAAAACTGCACGCAAAAGCTCTGAAAGAAGAACTCATACCACACTCTAAACCTCTGGAAACAGGAACTTCAGTTTCACCCGAAAGGAGCCCCAGCTGGCTCAATCCTGGAAGCTGCAGGGCAGATTTGCTAAGCACAGAGACAGGCCTGAGAGAGAGACAGTAAAGCATTATTATGGTAGCACTGAGGTCTCACAACAGGATTATTTGTGCAGTTGCTGCCGAGCTCTGACTTGGCTAGTTGCATCCGTTTCTTACCGGCTCTGGTAACGCCCTTCTTGGCCAGTTGCAAGAGGCCCTTCTTTTTCAGTATGAAGCTGGAGCCAATAAAAATACTGGAACTTACTGCCAGCCCCAGGCCTACATACAGACTGTACTTGTTTTCTACTTTTGCAGAAATGCCCAAGTTGCTTATGCTGGAGTTCAGGTCCTCGTAGAGGATGGGAGAATCCACCGGCTGTGACACATTGGTGATCTCACACCAGGCCTGGGAGGAGTTGGGGCAGACCAGAGACAGCACGTAGCCTGGGAAAAAGGGAAAGAAGGAAACATCAACAAACACAAAAAAAAGATACACTGAATGTACTCCTTTTCTGCAAGAAAGAAACCTGAGTGGACAGTACTGACACCGCTTAACCACGTGGAGGAAAGTTCTCAGCCAGCAGTTCACACGCCTGTGGACACATCCAGTTTGGCTCACACAGGTTCTTAAAAGTGTTTGAGAAATTGTTCAGTTGTCATCATTTCAAAATGAGAGATTTCACCTGAAAGTCTCCCTTCCTCTTATAAATTGGAGAATCTGGCCTTACTTGCTTGACCCTTTGTTCCAGCAAAACAGCAACGTATGAGAATAGCAAGAGTAGCATGTAGCTGTCTACACCTGAAGTGGGCTCAGCTAATTCATCACGGCCCCCGAGACCCACCTCCGGCCTTCACATGATCAGCACAGCTCCAGGAAAGTAGTGTTCGTGATGCCTGAGTGTAGGGCCAGGCACGGGAATCCACCGGTGGGCATGTAACAGAAGATTTAGCTAACCCATCTGGTGGGGTGATAGTGCATTTCAGAAGATGTGTTTAAAAGGGGGTTTGGGGGGGAAAAAGTGGGTTTGGTTTCCATACCACTTTCCCTGAAAAGAATGATTTTTTTTAGCTTTCCTAATCTGCCTTCTCCTAAACAAAATAAAATCCAGCAAAAAAAAAAAAAAAAAGGAATTAAACATCGGTAGGCTTTTCTTAGACTAAGACTCAAATAAACATATAAATCTGCTGAACCAGACCCATTATTATAAAGGCCTTGGAATTTTACATCTAAACCCCTAAAACGCAAAATGAACCCACTGTAGACAATATAAGGAACTTTTAAATCTGTTCTCCACTTGAAAAGGTAGCTGTCAACAAGGTGATATTGTGACTAGATTTTCTGACCCTCTTCTCACCATTTTTTTTATCCCTTTTATTTTTTAAAGTTTTGTTTAAATTCAATTAATTAACATATAGTGTATCATGGGTTCTGGAGATAGAGTTTAGTGATGCATCAGTTGCATATAACACCCCGTGCTCATTTCATCGAGTGCCCTCCTTAAAGCCCATCACCCAATTACTCCATCCCTCCCTCTACCTCCCCTCCAGCAACCCCCAGTTTGTTTCCTATAGCTAAGAGTCTCTTATGGTTTGTCTCTCTCTCTGGTTTTGTCTTATTTCATTTTTCCCTCCCTTCCCCTATGATCCTTTGTTTTGTTTCTTAAACTCCACATATGAGTGAGATCATATGATAATTGTCTTTCTCTGACTTATTTCACTTAGCAAATACTTTCTAGTTCTATTCATGTTGTTGCCAATGGTAAGATTTCATTCTTCTTAGTGGCTAATATTCCTTTGTATATATATAGACACCACATCTTTTTTACCCATTCATCTGTTGATGGACATCTGGGGTCCTTCCATAGTCTGGCTACTGTGGACACTGCTGCTATGAACATTGGGGTGCAGGTGACCCTTCAGATCACTACATTTGTATCATTTAGATAAATACCTAGTAGTGCAATTGCTAGGTCATAGGGTATTTATTTTTAACTCTTTGGGGGAATGGCCATACTGTTTTCCACAGTGGCTGCACCAGTTTGTATTCCCACCAATAGTGTAAGAGGGTTCCCCTTTCTTTGCATCCTCTCCAACATTTGTTGCTTCCTGACTTGCTAATTTTAGCCATTCTCACTGGTGTGAGGTGGTATCTCATTCTGGTTTTGATCTATATTTCCCTGATGCTGAGCATATTTTCATGTATCTGTTGGCCATTTGTATGTCTTCTTTGGAGAAGTGTCTATTCATGTCTTCTGTCCATTTCTTGACTGGATTATTTGTTTTTGGGGGGTTGAGCTTGATAAGTGCTTTATAGATCTGGATACTGACCCTTTATCTGATAAGACATTTGCAAATGTCTTCTTCTATTCTGTAGGTTTTCTTTTGGCTTTATCAAGTGTTTCCTTTGAAGGAAGCTTTTACTTATTTTACAGAGAGAGAAAGAGCATGAGTGGGAGGGGCAGAGGGAGAGGAAGAGAGACTCTCAAGCAGACTCTGAGCTCAGCATGAAGCCCAACACAAGGCTCAATCTCATGATCCTGAGATCATGACCTGAGCCAAAATCGATTGTTGGATGCTCAACCAACTGCACTACCTGGGGGTCCCATTATTTTATTTCAAGTATAATTAACATACAGTGTTACATTAATTCATTTTTTCTTTTTCTTTTTAGTTTTGTTTTTTCCTTGAAAAAGCACATTTTCCCATTCTGAATTATTCTAAACAAAAAAGGCAAAGAAAAATGAATCAACTCCAATTTTAGAATGCAATGAAAAAAATAGTTTTACACCTCAAAAATCTTAAGAAGGCATATGATCAACAAAAGATAGTTTGATCAAATGATATCTTAGGGACAAAGTTTTGGTAACTGGACCTATGCCTCCCTGGCAAAATATTATGCAGTTATCTGAATTTACCACTTACAAAGTTAAGAAACAATGATAAAGTTCAGGTCCCTAAAAAGGTAAAATAATTGAATTCAAGCTTTTCATGATTATTATTTCACTTATTTCAATTAGTTGAAAATGAATCAACTTTGTTTCAAAGGTACAGAATAAACTCTAAGTCAAAACTTCTAAATATTCCAAGGAGAATTATGTGACTTTAGGGATATTCAGTAACATTGAGGGATCTCCAGGCATGTTGTTTTAATAAGAATTGCTGCAGGGGATCCTGGGTGGCTCAGCAGTTTGGCGCCTGCCTTTGGCCCAGGGTGTGATCCTGGAGTCCCGGGATCGAGTCCCACGTCAGGCTCCCGGCACGGAGCCTGCTTCTCCCTCCTCCTGTGTCTCTGCCTCTTTCTCTCTCTCTATCACAAATAAAAATAAATAAATAAATCTTTAAAAAAAATAAGAATTGCTGCAAATTTTCAAATAAGCCAGCCCTTAGCAATCGTGTTCCCTTAGCCCAGCTTATCTAAACCCAAGAATGGATTTTCATAGTAAGAATTTCCATTACATTCATTCCTGAGAAAACATCTGACTTGACCTGCTAGTGAATTCTATGACTGCACTGGTGTTACTTATTATGTATTTAACATAACCATTCCAAAACTCCATCTCTGAAAACAGTGTGGGCAGGTCTCATTCCAGTGGAACAATATTCTTTCTAAGCTGTTGACATAGCAAACTATTTCCAACCTTTTAGGGGGTGTGGGGGCAGAGGGTGATAAGGGAAAGCAAATAATCTTTGTTGGATTTTGCAAGTTCCTATTGCAAATAGTAGCTATTAATGCTGCAAGTTTTATGGCTGGAAAAATAATAAAAATTGTATAGAGTTTTTGACCTTAGAACTTAAATTGTTTTATGTTCTGGGTGACTGTTGAGGAGTGGTGCTACAGCAGATGTGACTGAAGGAGGGAGTGGGGGAGACAAGGATGGGTTGGGCCTGTGGAATGGGAGGCCAGGTACAAACCGATGGGTGAAGTAGAATGTGTGCACAGGGTTTCAGAGGAATCAGGAGATAGTGGAGTTGGCTTCTTAAGATTCTAGTAAGCAAAGTTATTATCCAGGGAGTTTAAACTTTATTCAACATAGAGAAAATCTATTACATTCATTATATATATATTTTTACATTCATTATATTTTATTTTAATAGACACTATAATAGCCCTCCAAGTGGCTGTCCCAACTTATACTCCTGCCACCAGGGAGCAAGTAAGACTTCTTTGGTATAGTTATTATTAGTTTTTCTAAATATTGAGTAATTAATATTTAGGAAGTATGTGTCAGTTATAAAGAAACATAATTCAATATACACCAATGTGTCAACCACCTAACTTAAGAAATAAAATATTACCTTTCAGAAGTGATAACTATCCTGATTTCCTGCATAAGATCCCTTTTCTTAAAAAAAAATTATTTCCCTTTTACGGCTATATCTTTAAATAATTGTTTAGTTTTGCTCCTGCACTTTATAAAATGTAAATTATACAGTATGTATTCTTTGGGGGGGGGGCTTGCTTGTTTTTGAGATTTATCACTATTGATGCATGTGGCTGTAGGATTTGTTTTTGCCCACTGTTCTACAGAGCTCCACTGGATGATGATCTCACAACTGATTTTCCTATTTTACGATTGGTGGACATCTGAGTAATGTACGTTTTTATTCTCACAAGGAGTACTGCTAACATTCTTCGTTATGATGAAACACATGCACTAATGATACATGACAGTTTTTGACTCCATAAAAACAGTAGCTTCGTTTGAACTTAATACATATCGTCCATATAAAAGGCCTTGCCTCACCTTGAGCTCTGTTACTATCTATAATCATGGACAAGTTGAATATTTCTTCTTGATTTCAGTTTCCTCATCTCTGAAATAAGGGAATGTAACTCAGTGATTCCATAGATGCCTTCTATAATTCTGTGATTTGATCATGTGCTATCTCTGTTCCCAGAGTAATTTACTTACAATCCCAGTGGCTCATAAATGTTGCTGATACACCAGATTTAAACTCATGGGCACTTGTAGTTGAAAGACGTTTTAAAGAAACTGATGCCAAGATATTAAGTGACATGCCTAAGCCCTTATAATTGTCAAAATCACAGCCAAGCAGCAACCCAATTCCCAGGCCAGTATTCTTTTTATTTCAGAAAGGTAAAAACATAAAGTACAAATAAAATCAGTTAAAAGTTATTACTAATGTTTATACAAAGATGAAATACTTTGAATAATTTTTTTCAAGTACGATTTGCCTATATAGAGAGAATAATAATTTTTTTCAGTTTATTACATACGGTAGGAAAGCCGACTCCTAAGAAGTCAATGATGGCACAAACCTGCATTTTTAATCACTGCAAGATATTTCCAGTTTGAGGAAACCATTGTCTCATCATCTATTTTATGTGTTTGTTTAATTTGTTATTCAGCAAATAGTTACTCCCTTACCCCTCCTGTGGAATAGAGCTTCCCTAAGGAGCTGCTGCCCCTTCAGCCCGAGCT